AGTTTACTTTTTGTTCAGACTAATTAATCATGGATGGTCTCACGATAATCATTTGATGATGATGATGATGATTGAGAAAGCATCATTACAATGAAGAAGAGACTGGAAATGATCATCATGAAAATACACAATATCCTGAATTGATAATATTACATGATGATGATGATGATGATGACATGAAGAGACATTTTGTCGATAATTTAAAGAGACAGAACAAGAGTGAGAGAGAAATGGATAATAATAATGATCAACATGAAAGGGTGAACATTTTGTAATCAGGGAATAGAGAGAAATAATAATGATGCTGAATCTCAGGAATCATGGATAACCCTTTAACATGTAACATTGATAATGAGCATCCAAAGGTAATGTAACCATATACACATTCACTTGTTACTGAACTGTTTATATTATCACAATAATCATCATCCTCATCATCTGCATCTCAATCATACATAATTTATTTATTATCATCATCTGAATAATGATGATGATAATCATGTTAACATGTGAATGAAATGAAAAAAACAAATTCAATCAAACTTATACACTTTATGTTATAAGTCAAGAACGATTTATCCTAAAAAGATCAAACCTCGTACGTATACATTTCAGAATTGAAGGACTTCGTGTAAAAATTTTCAAGGTCATTGAGGTCATTTCTCGAAAATTCAATTCAAATTCTTGACTTATAACTAAAAATCTGCGTAAACTGAAGTTGAATAGCCTTGTACAAGTAATTGTATTAGTAAATGATGAAGGTTAATTGTTACAATCAGATGTTCATTATCTGTTAGTGATTAAGACTCTCTACCTTTAATCTTTTGCTGTTATTTAATCAAGATAATTAATCAGTCAATTTATTCATAACAATATAATTTGATGACAATCGATCAGGGAAAAAAGTTTCATTCTTATCATGTATCTAATTTTGGTGATTGATGTGAGTTGATTGACATATCATCAACTTAATCCACAGAAGCTCAATTAGATTTATCATTAAACTTAATCATTGTGATTAAAGGATGATGATGATTAAAGACAAATCATTGTCCTTAATAAAGTTACATTGATCTGATTTGTAAGTTTGTTTTTCGTGACAACAAAAAAAAAGTTTAGCTTAAAGTTTATCATCATTATTATTATAAGATAATAAGTAAAATATATATATCATTCATGATGATGATGATGATCATTATTAGCTTTATACAATTTGAATCGCAATTAATCAATTGCAATTAGCAATCGTACAGAAATCCATTGGATGGTAAGTGGAGCAAACTTATCAGACTCATGATGATACCGATAATGATGATAAACCAAGTATCATGGATGATGATATTTTTTTCCCATTGATTTAATAAAGATAATGATGATGAACTGAACTGAAATGAACTGAATCAAACTTATCATTCATTTTAACAATGTAATATCATTTGATTTAATGATCTGAACATCATCCAGTTGATTATTGATGTTTGCATTGGTAACTCATTCATTTTCATGTAAGATTTAACTTCACCCTTTTGTTATTTTTATTGTTAACATAAAACACCATCATCATCATCACCTCTACCCACTCATCTTCATTATCATCATCATCATCATAAGCCATTTGACCTGCTTTGAATCAATGGAGTGAGAAAAGTTCCAGAATTTTATTCAGTTGTATTAGATTTTTGTGTATACATGGTGTATGTATCCAAGCCGGAGGCTAGAAAATTGGAATGTAAAAGATTCATGAAAGTGATGATTGAAAGGGAGTGAGAGAGAGAGAGAGAGAATCATGATCATCATGCTGATCTCTCATGGAGATGCTGAATAAAGATGAAAATCTTAAGGTTTCTTTTTCTTAGTTGACTAAACGACTTTCATCATTATTATCATCATTATCTTCACTATCATTTTAAATCATGAATTTTCATTGAAAAGTTCTGAGCACAAGCCTCATTTAAGATTAAATTGGGTGAATCTTGTTACAATGCTTATAGTCACCTTTTGTTTATCTACTTGGTTTCTTATACAGTTCATGGAATCCATCAGATTCCATGATTCCACCATGAAATCATCTCAAGAATTGTGAATACAATCAAAATTAACTCTGAATATCAGTGAGCTTTCATAAAGTGTTACAATTAATCACAATTGGATTAACAATTGATTTTCACTCAAACATCATCAACAATTTAATATAATATTGATCGACAATTTTCCGATTAATCATCTCTTTTAATCATCTTATCATCATTTATCATTAATCTAAATCTACAAATTATCTCGGTGTAATTAGTGTTTATTGCTGTTTAGAATTTACAATTAACAGAAAAAGTCTCATTTCTTTGTAATTGTTTTCCTTTAACAATCATTGATCAGAAACAAATTAATTACCTAGTGATAGGAAATAGATTAACATGATTCATTCATCAATGAATGTTTAACAACAGGAAATTTCATGATGATGATGATGATTTTCAGATGAGGAGAGAAAACAAAAAAAAAGAGAACAAAATTCAAACCGGAAATTAAAGAGTTCAGGGAAAGATTGACTGAGTGAATATTAACTTTTACCTAACCATTATAATAACATGATGAATATGAAACATTTCTGAATATTTTCAGAATTAACTTTGAATCCAAATTTGATGAATGAACTTTTCAGATTGTTTTGTGTTCACTTGTCAGAGAGGGAAGATAAAAACAAAAAGAAAATAATATCTCACTAAATCCATGAGAGATATTCAGAGTAATCATCTTGAATGATCTGAAATCGTTGACTGGTTGGAAAGGTGAAAGTTATCATGAAGATGAAGATGATCATGATCATCTAGATTTTTCAAGATGCTGTGAAGACACCGGAATCTATCAAAAAGGATGAGATTAATTGTAGAAAGCCACGCATGATGAGATGATGATGATGATAAGAAAAGAAAAGAAAAGAAAGGATAACATGAGAGAGGAAAAAAAATAAAAGAAAATGATAAAAATTCTGAGTTATTCCAATTTCCATCAGAACTTTAGATCTCTTCCTCTCCTCCTACTCTTCATCAACAAAGAATCATTTTCTCCACCATAGAGATAATATCTTTTTCCCATGTAACTGCAACATCATCATCACCTTACAACCTTCCACTTCACCCAAATCCTGAGACACACACAAGAAAATACAATCCCAGAGCTCAGTCAATTCAGAATTATTCTTGAAAACTTACATATAACTCCAACCATCAACTTCATCCTCATGATGATGATGATCATCATCATCACCATTTATATAATAAACAAATAGTATAAACAAAATTTTATGGGTTAAAAAAAATGTTATCATTATTGATTGAATATTAAAAATAATACATAACCTCAGAGATGAAATATTTACTCTGGAAAATGAAACAAACAATAAAGTTCAGTCTCAGAGATTTTTTTTTCACCATTTTCATCCTCAAATCAACATGAATTCAGATTTAAATTGAATTGCCTGTAAACAATAATAGTAACATTGATCATCATCATCATCATACAATTGAAACAATTGAATATTTCCTACACAAAATTCAATCTCTTAATAAGAAAGATAAAGTTTCTTATTATTATGATAAAAGAGGGGAAAAAATTGTGAATTTCAATCTGAGTAAATTTGAAAACTTATCATGATTATCATGGTTTTCTGTTCATTCACATCCCTGAATAAGTAATATGATAATGTTTATCCTTTTTTGATGTAATATATTCAGACAGAAAGATGAAGGAGGAAAAAATGATTCCGACAAAGTGACACTTTCCCTGTTTTCACCAACTGAACCCTCATGAAACATGGTGGTGGGTGATAAATGTAATTGTAAATTGGTTTCACAGCTTCCTGATTATACCATTTAAACCTTATTTAAGCTCATTGATCTAATATATTATTTGGGTGTATTAGGCTAACAATGGCGAGGAGAGGAAAAATTTCCCACCTTCTAATTCAGGGGAAGGTTGAGAAAAGAGAGAGACAGAGAAAAGTTCCAAATTCACTGAATTCTTTCTCATGTTATTTCATCATCAACATTTTTTTCTCTCTCCTATGAATCGTTTTCTCCCTCTTCCTATGGAGATTAAAGTATTATGGTGACAATTGTTGTCGACGTTGATAATTTGAGCAACAATTTGAATCTAATCATTAGTTTGTTATGATTAGTTTACTTTGTTTTTGCTTCTGTTTCCGTTGAGTTTCAGAGGAATCATGATAATCACCATGATAATGATAAGCTTAATGATTAGTTGTAATATTTATCTTCATTTTCTGAAGACTGGAAAAGTTTTTACACTTAATAAATGAGACTCATCATGAACTTTTTTTCCTCATCTCTCAGTTTCACAGGGGAAAAAACATGATAATGTCATTAGCTGTTATCTTTTTTTCCATTCTCTCTCAATATTATCATGATTTGAATTCATCATTACATGTTAATTGGGCGACGATTAATCATAATTATTTCAACTAAAAGTCTCATCTTTTTAATTCATTGTTATACTGAATAAAGTTCATTATGATGCTTTAGTCAAAATGATTGACAACCTTGACCTAATTTCAAGATGAATATGGTGGCGATTGATTCATCATCATTAGACTCATGATGCATGATTATAATTGCAAATCAATAATCAATGATAAATTGTTAAATTAATCAAATCAAGTGAACCAGAAATTTGAAGTAACAAAATTCATCCTCATCCTGATTTCAAAATCAGAATTTTCTGAATGTGAAGATTTTTTCCTTACTTCCTCAACATTTAATCATTTCCATCGTCTTGTAAGTTCATTCATCTGAATAATAATGAATTAAATATCTTGTTATCATGCTGACATTGGATGAAAGATATATAAAAGTCTATGTTATTTGAATACATCATATGGTAACAGCAACAATTGAATATTCATTTAGACAGATGAAGAAGGAGATTTTTTTTTCAGAATCATCATCATGAATTGGATTTAAAGTATTATCGTCATGAAATCTTACCCTTTTTCGAGGCATGAAAACTGTCATCTTTTGAGACATATTGAATATCGTAAATTAATGTTGTATTAGTTAGTAAATTACGATCTTTATTGACACGATAAACACCGTACTTGAAGGCTAATTCAGTGGGGCCATTTTTTTCATCTTCCGTGAAAAGTGCTCCTGAAAGAGAGAGAGAGAGAGACAACAATTAGTCATTAATTTCAGTTCGAACAAGGAAATAGGAGAATCTCAGGTCATAATTGAGAGAATACCATTCAAGTGATCGGAAGTTATGATTGAAATGGTTTCGAAATCGTGACAACTTTTCATCCAATTGAATTAATATTTCGAATGAAATTTTTCGTTACTTGAGTAGCTCATCTCTTTGGACATTGGTCAAAGTTTTGACATTTGACAAAAGTTTCCTATGAACTTTTCCTCTGTCATTTTCAGAGGAATCAGATTTGTTGATTATCATGTTGAGGTTTTTTTTTGTTTCTTGCAAAATAGTTTGAATTGATTATCATCCTACTCATCATCTTATTGTCATGTAAATTAAACCTGAGTGGTGTATTTGTGTTTATATTCATTCACTGAATCGCTTTATTGTTTTGTTTAGTTTCTTCATCATTCATTATTATCCACCTTATTATCATCATTATCATCACTGACAATGTGTAAGATGTAAGATTGAGAGGGTATCATGAATAACAATTGAATTACAGGTTAAATCAGATGAGCATGTTAGGAAATTATTATATCAACAATTTACTTAGACAAAAGTTTTTACTCTAATATCCAATAATTTTATGGTCTATGCTTGAGACTAAATTGATATTTCAAGATGGAGATAATTTAAATTTCCAGTTAATATAAAATTAATAGCTCAAAATGCGGAAACAAGTGAAATTAGAGCATATTGGTAGATTCAATTGTCGAGATTCAGAGTTTATCGACTGGGACATTTTAATCATTGACATTTTATGCCAATGGGAGGAAAATAGAGAGAGAGAGAGAAAGAGATTAAGTGTAATAAATTCAGAATCTGAAACGATAACTTATCCGCTTGGAGTGATTATAATCATTATACAATAGTAATTATCTGTTCCATTGTTTCATGTGAGTTTGGAGATTGAGATATAATCAGGGTATGAAATCAACCAAGAAGAAGAAGAACATAAATCAAATTAGAAATCCAATGGAAAGAAAGTTCTGAGTTTAACAGATTTTTCCATCACCATAATCATCCCTTTTTCATGCTCTTCTATTATTTTCCCAATATCTATTTCTGATCATCATCATCACCACCATGAAGATGATGATTCTCGCTCTCAGCATCTTCTTTTTTTGCTTCTCTCTCTCTCTCTCTCGTTTTCTCTTTTCATCTTTCGTCTTCATTTCCTTATCATTAGTAAAGTTCCAATATAAGAAACTCACTCTGTATCTAATCATTTCTTTATAACCTCCTCCTCTTTTAACTTCAATACAATTTGCAACCTCAATCTACACTTTGATCTTTATGACACAATAGTGACGATGAAAAAAAATCTTCCCAGTGAAGGTGATGATATAATATGAAAAAAATTACTTCTTTTATTTTACTCAGTTAGCATTCGTTGCCATGGTTACCTACTGTATTTTTCTCGTTATGGTTTTACTTTGAGATAAAAAACAGTTACATTGTTATACAGAGGGAATAAACTTTTTCTGTGTCTCGAATTTTAGTTTTAATTGTCAGTCGAAAAGTCAAATTTCACTTTTGTCCTTTGATTGTGTTTATCATGTTTCATGGGATATTTGAATGATCAATCATTGATATGGTTCAGATGAGAGTAGCATAGAAAGCGGGATAGTATATTTGATGAGGAGAATTTTATCCAGAATTTAATCAGAATTTATAATCGTTCGTAATAAAAGATTCAAAGGTTGAGAGTATCATGATTACCATGATTATCATGGAAGAGCCTCTTGGAATAACTTAGAAGCTTATTTAGATTATCCTTCGAGAATGTGGGTTATCATCATTTTGGAAGAGAAAAATCTGATAATCATGGTAATTCTCAAGATTGTATTGCATGAGCGAGAGAAAAGTCTCTCCATGAACTTTTCAGAATTTTTCTCAATGGTACTCAGCTGAATGTACACAAAATTAGGATAAATTGTATTGATAACTCGATGGTATAATTTGTTGTTCTCGGAAATCAAATTGACACAATTTTTTTTAAAAAAAGAAAAGTTCTGATCGGTGAAAATCCTTAAGTGATATCTAAACAATTGATTGCTTCGGACGATTTTTACGGATTAAGACTTCGTATTTCATGAAGATGATGAATGAAAAATTCAATTTCAGTGTCTTTTTCAGTAATCATGTTGATCATAAATAAAAAAGTCCCAAAGGATTCACAAGGATGAAGATTAAAGTATTGGGTGAAAATTTTTCTCATGATAGACGATACAAGATGATGAGGATAATATTAATAATCATTATCACCACTATCATGGGAAAAATGATCAGATAATATTTGATAAACATTGATCTCTACGAGAGTTCAAAGATCACTATCACTATCATGGGAGATGAATGTTCATCTATTAATAGTAAGCATAAGAATTCATTTTCATTAAGGTCAGGACAATGAAATTATTACCTTTGATCAACAATTAAATCTTGTAATTTTATCTTTCCACTTAAAATGATTACATTTGCATCATTGACTTTTCATAAATTCGTATTCAGCTCAAACGATATTCATTTGTTCAAATGAGTTCTCATGTTCAAATGGTTCACAAGGTGTTGATTACATGAAAGGAGAAATTTTTTCATCAGTTAGGGCTCAGAGAGAGAGAGAGAGAGAGAGAGAGAGAGAGAGAGAGAGAGAGAGAGAGTTGTTTATTTTGATTCCATTGTCATTTCACTTTTGACCATTCTCGACTCATTGCCATAGTGTAGAGAGGTAAAATAGATACATGAAGGGAGTGGGTTAAACTAAAAAGTGGGAGGAGGAGATGGTCAAAGATGAAGTGGAAAACATAAGAAGTCAAAGTAAAGTGGACAAAATAAAGGGAACACCAAAGAGATTCAACTATTAGATTGTTCAGCTAACAAGTCAAAATATCGAGAAAAAATTCTCTCCCTCTTCATGTTTATTTTCCGATATTTTCCCACCCCACCCTCACTCATTCACTAACACACACACACTCCCTTCTCATATTTCATCTTCAAACATCATCAACAAAATTGCTTACTTAGTGTTTTCCATGTTGACAATAAACAGTAACTTTGGCTCGTTAATTTTTTCCTCAAATTGTTACAATTAACTTTTCGTCTTTCCTTTTTTTTTAATAATAACATCAATGTCCAGACGGAATTGAAAACAAATACGATAAAATTATCCTCCTTTTACTGATTCCAACTCAATAACAATCGTATTAGTAAATGTACTATGTTCAAACTTATATGATATCCATTGAAACGAATCACAACTAATTATTAGTTACAGACAGAACTCAATTTAAACTTCATGATTAGAGACTGAAAATATAAATAAATAAGTGTCCTTAGTTATTAATTTTAGTCAACAATCAAACAATGAACAATTATTATTATTATTTTCTCAACAAGAACCGAAACAGAATTCACCATGATATCCATTAGAACTCATAATAAACTCATGATAAACAAAAAGAAAAAAAAATAATATAATTAAAATGTAAATTACCATGAAATAGATTCACCTTGTTATCAACAATTTAAATTAATGAATCATTCAAAATCCTATTAAATTTAGGTAACATCAATATACTCAGATTACTAGGAGGGTATTCACATTTTGCTTGAATGAAAAAGGATTTAACCTCTTCCTTCAAAACTAAACCTCTCACATTTTCAGTTATTATACATTATAAATGAATGGAGGAAAAAAATAGGAAATAAATAACACGAAGAAAAAATAATAATAATAATAAGCAGTAAAAATTGGAAAGAATCGTCTAAGTAAAATGTTCATTGTTGTGAATACATTTTATTTTTGTGTCAACAACAACATTGTCCAGAGACAACAAAGGTTAGTTTGAAAGAGGCAAAAGTTATACAGTGATTATTATTATTATTATTATGGTTATCATGTTGGTCAGTAAAACTTTGATTCAACATTTTCTTCTGAATACCTTAACAAGGACAATACCATTGGTATATATTAATACAAGGTTATCATAACTTTTATCATAGTATTAAATGTGTAACATTTTACTTGGCTGATTTTCTGGTTTTTCTATGATTTATACCAAAAGAAAAACTGTTTACCAAATGATGTGATAGTATTACAACAATTGAACACACTAAATGTGAAAGAAGTGTATTCGTCTCATTCTGATAATCAGTTACATATTGAAAAGAGTAACAATTTTGTCTGAAAACATTGAGATTTATTTAAATTTAAATATCAGTCTTGTCTTAATACATTATTATCATTAACATTCATTCATCTCAAGATTGATAAAATGATTAAATGGTCTGATTGTGATTATCAAGTGTGTTTCATATTAATTGTTGAAGGTATTTTTTATTGAGTAACCGGATTTATTAATTAGTATTGTGGTTTTTTATGTATCAGGCAGGTTGACATTTTAATTGGAATGTCAATCAACATTTTATAATCATATTAACTTTTATCTTTGTTTACAAATTCGTTATTCTTTGATTCAAAGATCATTTTATACTTAACAGCAAAAATGATGACAAGATTTGACAGTAAATTTCTAGTGATGAAACGACTTCTTATTTTTGGTCATTAAAACCGATTACAAACCCAAATTGTTAGTACGTTTATTTTAGAAACTGATGAAGTAGTGGTGCGAGTATTATTTGAAATCTTTTATTTTCGAGTTTCATTGTCTGTTATTTAGGACGTAAAAACCAAATATCACTACAGTTTACTCCTTATTACTTGGTTTTTCATATCAATTCTATAAAGACAATATGTAAGTTTTGTTGTGTTAAAGGGGAATGTATCACCCAAAATCGACTTTCGTAAAACTTAAAATAAGGTCACAATTCTGCTGGAACACATCAAAGCTTCTCTAAAATGTTCCGCTCGGCCACAATTGCCATCGAAACTTAAATTGTATTTCGATATTATTTCGAGAACGGTGATGGATAAAGACATGAAATTTTTTACAGA